TTATTGACGCTAACCCCTGTGTATGACTAATGAAGAACGCCTTGCCCTCCGCCCATCTGACGGTGACGACTTTGACGAGACGGTGTAAATAACGGCCGAGATGTGGTCAGTGGCTCGTCAAGTGTTACCCGCTTATATCATCGTTAAACATGTCGACTGTAATTTTTTTTACCTAAACGTGATATATCGTGCAACAAATTTCTAAATGCTAACTTTTCATCAGTGTCCCGATAAGTCACCGAAGCAAGAAATGGGCATTGAATACATCTCTTCCAAAACTCCTAAGACTTCCGTGTTAATCCAGGGAATACAGTTACGGTATTGTCTGATGGAGGTCGGGTAAATAGGGAGTGGGTTGTATCTAGGTCACTCTCAATATTGGCTATTGGACCCAAAGTGGTCTTAACACGTCAACTCATATAATATATCAAAAGGATATTGCACCAGGATATTTCGAAATTAGCTAACGCACCCGCCGATGTGAGATAAGCCTACTATGGTACACAAACGGACACGTAATACACCATCCCGGTGTACAAGTCCGCGGGTATTGAGTATAGACTTGCACGGCCAAGCTTTGAAAAACAGAAAAACACAAACAAACCAAACTATTGACCTGGGTTTGTGCACATCTGCGCATGTTATTTCCACAGCAGGCCGTGAACGGGACATGCCGGAGCCAAGTGGTGGATAACGGCACGGTGTTAGGCCCGCGGTATTGCTAATTCCACAGTTTGATGATGTTCTTGATCGTAGATAAACGACAAGTGACTGAATTGACAGGCAACTACGAGGTAGATACAGAGTCGGGTAGGCACAAGGGCGACTCTTAAGACAGTGACCCTTCAAGAGATGACCTGCTATGGGACGGGCACTGGAAGAAGTCTGGCTTCCCAAGTGACATGCACATGGATGGGTACCGTTTGCAGCTCAGTAGTGGCCAAACAATCCTAGCGGCAGTCAGCTGTTATGAGTGACAGAATGCTGCTATACGCCACTGTCTGCATTAGCACAGCAGTATCGCGGCGCACTGTAAATGGGATAGGCAAACCAGTCATTAATACAAAAGGCCAAGATCATTACCGCTGGCTATCGTACCAAGACGTTTGACCACTTCAAAAGCTGGAATGGAGCTGAGTGGGGAGCTGAACAGCATACAACCATACGTTTACTCGACAAGGCATATACTGCTTCAGAGTCTTCCGATGGTGATTTGATGGAGCCTGGTCCACTCCACTCATCTTGCAGCGCCGGACACAGTTCAGCCAACGTGATCGGCGGCCTTTGACGTTGACGCATACGCGTCCACATCATACCCCTGATGTATTCATTGAAGGAATGGACTCATGGGTGACCATCAGAGTACAGCCCAGTGATTCTCTGCATGTTGTGCTGCTGGTACCGATCAGAGTACAGCCCAGTGACTCCTTCCTTGCTGGTACCGATCAGAGTACAGCCCAGTGACCCTTCCTTGCTGGTACCGATCAGAGTACAGCCCAGTGACCCTTCCTTGCTGGTACCGATCAGAGTACAGCCCAGTGACCCTTCCTTGCTGGTACCGATCAGAGTACAGCCCAGTGACCCTTCCTTGTTGGACCGATCCAGAGTGCTGACCCTTCCTTGCTGGGTACCGATCAGAGTACAGCCCGATGCTGGTACCGATCAGAGTACAGCCCAGTGACCCTTCCTTGCTGGTACCGATCAGAGTACAGCCCAGTGACCCTTCCTTGCTGGTACCGATCAGAGTACAGCCCAGTGACCCGTCCTTGCTGGTACCGATCAGAGTACAGCCCAGTGACCCTTCCTTGTTGGTAGTACCGATCCTTGCTACCGATCAGGTACCGATCAGAGTACAGCCCAGTGACCCTTCCTTGCTGGTACCGATCAGAGTACAGCCCAGCCTGGTACCGATCAGAGTACTGCCCAGTGACCCTTCCTTGCTGGTACCGATCAGAGTACAGCCCAGTGACCCTTCCTTGCTGGTACCGATCAGAGTACAGCCCAGTGACCCTTCCTTGCTGGTACCGATCAGAGTACAGCCCAGTGACCCTTCCTTGCTGGTACCGATCAGAGTACAGCCCAGTGACCCTTCCTTGCACAATATGGACTGCAGGTCATACGTTTACAAATGCAACCCAACACCATAACTGCCATATCTGTCGAAGTTTCAGGATAACGCGGGCTATGTCGCCAGACACGACCACCTCTATGAAGTGGACTGAGGATCGGCACTCATCAGAAAGCATGATACGTGACCAGCAGCGACTGCCCAAGTTGGCAGCATGGTTAGACGACTGTTGGCTACGTGTTGACGATTTCTAATCTTTTGATAAGGACAACACAAGAATCTGTATCGAAACGTCGCATCATCCGAATGAAGAAGTTGTTCATCCATAAAGTTTTGTCCTTATCTGATTCACCAACTTCTAAACATGCCACTGAAAGAAGTTCTAATCTTTTGACCAATAACTCATACATTTCACCGTGATAAGTGTGCAGCCACCTGACTGGAGCTTCTTTCGTATGAACCGATCATTCACACTTGTCGTTGAGCTGGGATGCCGTGAACCGAGTCCATCGTCAGCAGTTTGGGTTTGCTGGTACCTGGTCCATAGTCTCCTGATGCAGACTGTACAACGATGCAGTAATGGGCACTGCGCAGTGTCTTTGCCAGTCTGCTGCAGGCTGCCAACAGCCCACGAATGCTCCGCGCATTGCCGACACTGCACTGCTAGTTCGTACACAAACAATGAATGAAATCAAGTAAATAACTGTATGGAAAGCAGAATCAAAAGCTTGACAGAAATAATGGTCCAAATCCACCTTGCTCGGAGGTGCGGCTCTATTATGTCTAGCACGTGGAAACAAATTTATGTGTCTTTGTGTTACACGTCTTTGTGTTCTTTTGCTAAACGATGCATGTCGTCGGTAGTCATCTTTGTTTGAATACTTGGTATTAACATCTATATATCACGATCCTCTACTTTTCTCAACAACATATATCACTCAAGTTGGGACCTTTGTCCCATATAAGTAGACAGTAAACACTCCGATGGTTATAAATGTTGACTAAACTTGACAACAGCGCCGAAAAACACTTGAGGCATGCATAAATATGGTTGTTTGGATTAAATGACTGGAGTCGGTTTAGTCGGGTGTCCGTCTGACACAGGTTGGCAGGAATCATATATCACCCCAGGGCCTAGCCCTTTCTTTCCCCACCCCCAACTTCCTAGTGATAATCCCAACACACCCTGTACTCCCGTGATTACGAGACGACTTGTCGAATTCCCATTCCGCAGTAGGTGACATCTTTCACCTGCAGACGCTGTGGAGTTGAGCAGGTGTATACTCTTTATGGGTTTGAATTACCAGCAAAACAGATGAGACACAGGTGTGCGGGGGTTACATTGATTTCACCTAGTCTTATACTGCGTCGGTGCTGTAGACGTACCTGACAAATACGTATTATTGTTGTGTAGAAAATGTGACGTGTACAAGACCTACTGGTTGCACAAGTGTGACTGACTCTTTACGTGAAACTATCACCATACCCACGTCAGTGCATCAGCTGACACCTCTTCCGTGTGATATACATGTCATGCTGACTTCACTCCACATCACCTCCCTGGTGATATCATCTACCTCACACCCGTGAGCCACTATGCTACAACCATCTGCAGATCAATGGTTGGCAGTACTATAGTATCATCTCATTAGTCCGGACACCCCGACTTCCGGACGATTACTGCTTGAAACGTAGACATATTTATAAAGGATATTACTTATACTCATAGTTTATCATACTCATGTGTTATTCCGCGCATTTACCCTATGTGCTAACATTCCTGATATACGGGGTTTCCTGTATACCAGAAGATACAGGTCAATCGTACGCGTTACGTTTGAGCATGAGCGATGCCTTGACACAACAGATAGTACCCGACTTGCTCAGTAGGCGCAGTCAAGCTATTGGCCAGCAGTCCTGATCCCACCTGCTGTGAAGTCGCTCAGTCTGTATGTATAGATTTGTGTGGTATTACTATAGGTGCTAGGCGTCCGCTGTACAGGGGTATGTACGTTTGGTTTCTGACTCACTACTGTAGATCTAGAATGACATGTACGTGTGAGGAGAGGACACTTCAGTTCGTTGTTCCACTGTTTACCTGGACCCCGGGACATATAGAGGGTGTACCAACTGATATGGACGGCATCCAGATAGTCACCGAGGTCCTCTGCCTGTACTGTACGCTTTGACTACTACTGTCACGATGAATTGCGCAATGGACGTCACAATTGTAAAGCAGTCCAAGGCACGTATGCTAAGTCTCCGGTTCGGGCCATGGGTTATACGAGAGCACTTACCTTCTGACAGCAGTTAGTATAACTGCACGTGTGTTCAAATGAGAAGCATACACACACAAGCAATCACTGCGGCGTACGTGACACCTTTATCTCCCTATAGAATAAAGTGTAAGGCCAAAGTGTAGTTAGTACATGTAAACAGTGTGTCTTATTGATGAATTAATGAGGGTTTCCCTGGAAGCAGAAGCTTCAGAGTCTAGTAATAATCTGAAGTCCAAAGTTTTGGGGGAAATGCCTTTCGGGGGAGGGGGGCAACTCCTGCATATACACTCACACCCTGGATCCGCCCCTGCGTATTGTATGTTATTTTATTAATTCCAAGTATATAGTGTAAGAATATAACGTGACACAATCGGAACTAAACGGACCAGTGTGGTACTTTTACCAGATTTTATATTTTACCTGTGATGATCCCCTCACCCTTTATACCCTGTCTACTGTAAGTGGGGGAGACACATTCACTTTTGTTGTGACACAAAAGTTGTTCAGAGGTACTTTTATGTAAATGCACGGCGTCGACTGAACAAAGAGGAGAAATCCACACAAGGCAGTTAGGTTGATAAAAATCAATATGTTTTGATCGAGAGAGAGATCGATACTCTTGTCGGTAAATACTGTTAATGACAGGTGCTTACCTTGCATGCTCTTTTGACGTGTCGACCTTCCACGTGCAGAACGCAGCAGACGACAACATACACAGCAAAGTTTACAAATGCGCTCAAAGTAAACCCAGACATTGTCTCTTCTTGAAACTGTCAAAAGTTTGTTTTAAAATCCTTGTTAACAGCAGGCAGAAGGTCCGCAATCAGTCCGATTCACTTGAAGTGTGTGAGGCAGACGAGTCCTGGCAGTATTAATGAGCTGTGAGTTAATTGCAGAGTGGACAGAGAGGATATGGTGGAAGCGGCGACCCAGTCCGTCTTATATACTACCCAGTGACGGTGATGTCACCGTGGCTAAACGTGACACGGCGGACCTGCTGCTGGAGAAATGGGGCTGTCTCATTGATTGCTCACCTATAACTTTGTTTCATCATCCCGCGTGCAAGTTGCGCGTGCGCCGTTACGTCACGCCTGACTGAGCAGACGACACATTCCCCCTTGAAAGTACTCAAGCAAAGCTGGAAAATACGATGCCCTTCCTGAGTGAAACTTTCCACAGATTAGAATTAGAGTGAGTCACATCTACCTATCACAGCGTGTGTTTACATTAAGGCACGGGAACTCTGCTTGTTGATTGACAGGTGAAATATGACGGGGCGGGGCTAACGTGTCACCCACATCTTACCTGAGCATTCGGTTTATCGTGTTCCCGGAGTGTCGTCATTCGACAGTTTGTGGCAGTAACTTGACGCATGTCGCAACGAGAGAGAGCTAAAACACACGATGTCGCTAAATCACTGTTGCGAACGTTGGTTTGTGTGAACTTTAATAAAAGATCACCTGTTCGCCTGTGAATTGTCGCGTGAAACGAGCGGGATCTGCCCCAAAGTCTCGTTCATGACTTAGCGTCCGCTTCCTGTTGCCATTGATCCGTTTACATAATGTTTCTATTCAGACAGAAGTGTTGCAACATTTGTTTTGTAAACCAATGTTAATTAAAATGCTTTGTCGTTTACCTCTAGACACTAGCTCCTGTGATATGTCTTTATTAAAAAAGTGCCCACACGCCCGTCCCACTCTCAATACTACAATAACTTTTCACTACATCTAACTGATTTGTTGGAATCGCATCATAAGATGTGTCTGACCAGTAGAAACAGTTACAGAAATGGAAGTTGGGTTGAATGGTGATTAAATATTCATTTGTTCAGTTGATATTATACGATCGATAATGTGCCGAGACGAGTTACGTAGGAAATTATGACGTCACTGTTTTACAAACAGACACAGAAAAAGTTGTAATATTATATTCGTACTAACAGCCGTGTTAGCCTAATCTCAGTAATAATGCCATTTTCTGATCTAATAATCACTTTGTAATCTTCCTTTCATCGCTGTCTAAAGTTTAACTTAATACAACTTTTTTTCAATCATTAATCAAACTCAGATCACGTGGAATAGGACCGTATTTACGCAATTCTGGCATTCCAAGTATGATTGTGTTCTGGATTAAGGACGAAAGTCACCAGCTAAGCTTAATAAATATCGCATACTTGTCTCACCAAGTGCGCCTATCTGGCTTGCCAAACCGGGTACAGGTTTGGTCGTACTGTCGTTTGACACGTACATCCCGTGTATTCGAGTACGCACTTTAATCTAACGATAAAACAGCAAGTAACGAGTTACTCCGAAATCCTTATTTATTTCTAAGTATTTTGAGATTTTTCAGGTACCCATTTGTATTGTTTACTTTACATCCGTGAGTTGTGCCCACATTAGAGATTTCTTTGTGTTTTTGTGAGAATTATTACCTTCTGTATATGGCCATATATAATCATTATATATTATATAATATTGTATACTTAAAGTACCTAAAGATATTTCCATCCGGCAATCGTATTCAGGTTTATATCTATACTAATTAGCTTTCACTTTGTATCCGTCACCACGCACTATGATTAAAAAACAGTGGCTCGCCACTTATGATATAACACTCTCACGATCAGCTGGGCTTACTGCGCAATGAACAAAGGTTTTCACTGACGAATATAGGGGATATTTCCTCGAAAATGTGTCACCGCTATAACTCTCATTCATAAATTTCTACAAGAATTCCTCTTCAGGGATTAAATAGATGGAGCGCGCTCAGTCATCGTCACGTGGTGTGACGTCCTGTGATCTTGACACATTTCTGTTGTGTGACACGCCGGAAGCTCGCCGTGTGTGAGACGGACATGATCCACCTAGTGCTATACTAAGGGTGCATTTCCTACTTTGACAATATTAGAAGTTTCATTTTCGTATAAGACTTTACACGCAGTAGAATTCTCACTGAGTCAGCAGAATATGCCCGCTAATAGTGACTGGACTTTAATTATGGAGGGCGACGTCAACCAAAATGTATTAGTAAATGTGTTCCCGAACCTGTTACCATGTGACCATAGTTACTCTGTTTCAACATGAAAACCCTGAAGCCGTTTTATTGCATTGGTTGATGCCTGTATTATGTCTTTAAAATGATCAATGCTAGAAATTCAATAAAACATGACAATATAAATCTAAAAATAGGACACATGGTTTTACGCATGAATATTGAATCTGTTCATATTTTGGACCAAAGGCCTCATACAGATTAAATCTTTCAGCCTGAAATTATACATACAAATATTCGCTCAAATGAAATATAACTGACGATAATGATTTATCAGGTTAGCCTATCTAAAAATCGAAAAGCAAAGTGTATAACTGCTGACTGCTGAGGCAAATGAAGAATAACTCAAATATGTGCGTTTATTACAGACATGTCCGCTTTCTTGATTTAGAGCGCTCGTCTGCGAAAATGAAAAGAGAAAATGCATGATGTGGTTTAACTACATGCTTTAGATCAGGACTGGGCGTTATCTACAATTATTTTCGAATCGAAGAAGCGATTCCCTGGCATTCGATTGACGAACAAAGCAGTTAAGCACCTTCACCCCTATACTATATGGTTAGTGATCCACGAGATACCATCACCTCCATACTATATGGTTAGTGATCCACAAGACACCATCACCTCTCAACACTATATGGTTAGTGATCCACAAGACACCATTACCTCTAAACTATATGGTTAGTGATCCACAAGACACCATCACCTCTATACTATATGGTTAGTGATCCACAAGACACCATCACCTCAATACTATATGGTTAGTTATCCACTAGACACCATCACCTCTATACTATATGGTTAGTGATCCACAAGACACCATCACTTCTATACTATATGGTTAGTGATCCACAAGACACCATCACCTCCATACTATATGGTTAGTTATCCACAAGACACCATCACCTCTATTCTATATGGTTAGTCATCCACAAGACACCATCAATTCTATACTATATGGTTAGTGATCCACAAGACACCATCACCTCTATACTATATGGTTAGTGATCCACCAGGCACCATCACCTCTATACTATATGGTAAAGTGATCCACAGAGACACCATCACCTCTATACTATGTGGTGAGTGATCCACAAGACACCATCACTTCTATACTATATGGTTAGTGATCCACAAGACACCATCACCTCTATACTATATAGTTAGTGATCCACCAGACACCATCACTTCTATACTATATGGTTAGTGATCCACAAGACACCATCACCTCTATACTATATAGTTAGTGATCCATCAGGCACCATCACCTCTACACTATATGGTTAGTGATCCACAAGACACCATCACCTCCATACTATATGGTAAGTGATCCACCAGGCACCATCACCTCTATACTATATGGTTAATGATCCACTAGACACCATCACTTCTATACTATATGGTTAGTGATCCACAAGACACCATCACTTCTATACTATATGGTTAGTGATCCACAAGACACCATCACCTCCATACTATATGGTTAGTTATCCACAAGAAACCATCACCTCTATTCTATATGGTTAGTCATCCACAAGACACCATCAATTCTATACTATATGGTTAGTGATCCACAAGACACCATCACTTCTATACTATATGGTTAGTGATCCACAAGACACCATCACCTCAATACTATATAGTTAGTGATCCACAAGACACCATCACTTCTATACTATATGGTTAGTGATCCACAAGACACCATCACCTCTATACTATATGGTTAGTGATCCACAAGACACCATCACCTCTATACTATATGGTTAGTTATCCACAAGACACAATCACTTCTATGCTATAAGGTGAGTGATCCACAAGACACAATCACTTCTATACTATATGGTTTGTGATCCACAAGACACCATCACCTCTATACTATATAGTTAGTGATCCACAAGACACCATCACCTCCATACTATATGGTTAGTTATCCACAAGACACCATCACCTCTATACTACTAGCATATGGTTAGTTATCCACAAGACACCATCACCTCTATACTATATGGTTAGTGATCCACAAGACACCATCACTTCTATACTATATGGTTAGTGATCCACAAGACACCATCACCTCTATACTATATAGTTAGTGATCCACCAGACACCATCACCTCTATACTATATGGTTAGTGATCCACAAGACACCATCACCTCTATACTATATGGTTAGTGATCCACAAGACACCATCACCTCCATACTATATAGTTTGTGAACCACAAGACACCATCACCTCTATTCTATATGGTTAGTGATCCACAAGACACCATCACCTCTATACTATATGGTTAGTCGTCCACCAGACACCATCACCTCCATACTATATGGCTAGTGATCCACCAGACACCATCACCTCTATGCTATATGGCTAGTGATCCACAAGACACCAGCACCTCTATACTATATGGTTAGTGATCCACCAGGCACCATCACGTCTATGCTATATGGTTAGTGATCCACAAGACACCATCACCTCTATACTATATGGTTAGTGATCCACAAGACACCATCACCTCTATACTATATGGTTAGTGATCCACCAGACACCATCACCTCTATACTATATGGTTAGTGATCCACAAGACACCATCACCTCTATACTATATGGCTAGTGATCCACCAGACACCATCACCTCTATGCTATATTTCTAGTGATCCACAAGACACCATCACCTCTATACTATATGGTTAGTGATCCACCAGGCACCATCACCTCTATGCTATATGGTTATTGATCCACCAGACACCATCACCTCTATGCTATATGGTTAGTGATCCACCAGGCACCATCACCTCTATACTATATGGTTACTGATCCACAAGACACCATCACCTCTACACTATATGGTTAGTCATCCACAAGACACCATCACCTCTATACTATATGGTTAGTGATCCACCAGACACCATCACCTATATACTATATGGTTAGTGATCCACAAGACACCATCACCTCCATACTATATGGCTAGTGATCCACCAGACACCATCACCTCTATGCTATATTTCTAGTGATCCACAAGACACCATCACCTCTATACTATATGGTTAGTGATCCACCAGGCACCATCACCTCTATGCTATATGGTTATTGATCCACCAGACACCATCACCTCTATGCTATATGGTTAGTGATCCACCAGG